AAAAAATTTTTAGGTGATTAAATAAAAATTTCTTATAAAATTAATTTTTCTAATTCAAGTAATTTAATTCTCATGACCAATACGTGACCAATAACAAATTATTAATTTTTAGTATCAAAATCTATCAAGTTTTTAACTTGCTTAAAATTATCAATGATAAAATTATGGTGAACCAATTGTTTCTTAAGTTTTTCGATTTCTTTCTTTTGAGTTTTCACAAGTTTATATAATCTTTTTATTTTCAAATCTTTTAATTTTGGTTTGTAAATTATACAATCAATATTTTTTTTCGTACATACATCACATTTTTTAGAATCTCGCGTAGAAAAAACACATGTTTGTGAATTTTTCTGCAGAATGTACAATATGTTTTTTTTGTTCGTGTTTTTTCTTCTTTCATTTTTTTTATACATTTTTTTTAATTATTACGTATTTTTCCTCTATTTATATACATTTTATCATATCAAACATCTATTTTACAAAATAATGTATGTTTAAATTTAATTGTTTTCACAATTTAAATTTAATTTTTTTATTTTATATTTATTTTAACCGTTTCTGTTCATAAACAACATGTATAATACATTTTAATATTAATTATCGACTTTTTATTTTTGTATTTTTTACACGTAATTTTTATAAATTTTATCTATTTTTTTATATATTACATATGTTTAACATTATTTTACACTTTTGTGTTGTCAGATTTTTGAAGTACTCAAGAGCTTAGCTAAATATTTCTTATTAAAAATATAGTAAATTTATTTTTTTTGTTATTTGATATTAACAGGGAATATATGTATAGCCTACATTTACACCTTATATATAGCCTTTCTGTACTAAGTGTTACGAAAGCTACAGAAATAATAAAAAAAAAAAAAATTTACTTTCATATAATGATCTATATCACAATTTGATATAATATAACACAATCACAAAGTTCCAAAACAAATGTCAATTTTGTCAAAAAATGGTTATTTCTTAAAAATTTACATAAGAAACCACTTTTTATGCACTAACAAAAAAAATTTCCTCGAGTAATTTTACTATACCACATCTATTCTTTAATATTAGTTTAAACGCTAACCCTAACATAAACGAACTTAAATGTTTTTTTTTAGTGGTTATGTGAAAATGACATTTTTGATGGTGATACTGGGGAAGATCCGCTTTAGACAACCCCTAATATGGAATCACCTTTGGTACAAAAAAATCCAAATAAGGAATATAGCTGTGGGAACTATCTCCTTTGATAAAGCCTACCTCGCGAGTAAAGTAACCCGAAGGTTAAATATAACTTCTAAATTAACATTCAGATGAACAAAATAATATTGAAAATCAGAGAGCTTAAATAGGAGACTCACAAGTGGGTCTCAGATATGGTAATAAGTAGAAAACCTATGGGCAAAACCTTTAAATAGACAATAAAAAAAATTTTTTAATTTTACAAAAAAAAATGATTCGCAATATTCAATTTATTGTTCTAAATAACTTTATTTAGCATAAATATTAATTAACTTAGTAAAATTTTGATTTTAATATATAGCTATGAATATTGATTAGAAAAGTAATGAAGATAATACTAAAATTGAATGATGTTAAAATTTGATACCTTAATTTGAAAATATAAACCTACTAAAATCCACTTATACTCTTTTATTATAAACACTAACCCTAAATTCTAATCTAACTAAAAAAAAAAAAAATCTTTAAAAAATTTTATTATAAATTTTCATAATAAAGTAAGTCAAAATTTCAGCATCATCCCCAACAAGTAATAAAGTTCGGTAACTTTTTATATGAGCAGTTTAACCAAGAAAATTATCTTATATGCAAATAACCTGCTCAGATTATTCTTGCATAAAGTACGTAACTAATTTTGTTTAGTTTAAATAATCAAAAAATATATATATAAGACCTGTGGGTTGATAGCGCAATGGTTAGTGCTCCCGGGTCACAATCGCAAGGTCGTGAGTTCGAGTTTACTGGGTGACGAACGGCTCTGCCAGGACCACGATTGGCTAAGATCTTCAAGAGGATTTGCCATTAAAAATGAACAAGATTCGTACAAGTTGCAGTCCGTCGGCATAGCCACAGGGCTGGGGACGACCAAATAAGGCGTAATCCGTCAACAAATTACCTTAAAATTGAGAAAAACCCAGCTAAAGGATTACTAAAAGGACGATCTGGCTTGTGGGTCATGTGAAGTTAGGGAACTGCGGATCTAGAGAACATAGATCCTACACCGCGGCACTAGGGACCCAGGACGTCATATGACGTACTTAACGGAGTATGAGTTATTTCACCAGTACGGTAACATATAGGTGGCCAACTCGCCATACCGGTGAAATCCGCAGATACGAAAACTCTGGCCTTTGAGAAATGTAAGAGATCCGAAGGTGTCTAAGGACCTTCGAGATGCGGAGGGAGGTTTAAAAAAAATATATATATATATATATATATATATATCGTAATACATATGTTTGTAAAATTGGATATCTAATACCAGTCACATGATTTGTCACATGCAAAATTTTTACTATGGGGTCAAATGATCGATGCATCTAAATTTTATAAGTAAATTTTGGGCAAATTTTGCTTTTAAGGCATATTTAACAATAAAGAAGTTGTTGGTTTAGTTTCTGGGTATCATTTCATAAATTTTTTAGCATTTGAAGGTCCTTCTTATGAAATTTTAATGGTGATTAAAAATAAAATGAAGAAAGATTATGATTACGACATTGACCAATTTTTTGACGATTTTTACTATTTTTTTATAAGTTATTTATGTTGTTTACTTCAAAATACCCAAAATAGGTAATGATAAACAGTCAATTAAATTTATGTAATTGACTGTTCATCATTACCTTTTTTAGGTATTTTTGGGTAAACAACATACATCACTTATAAAACAATAATAAAAATTATCCAAAAATTGGTTAACTTCATGAGTATGATTTTTTTCCATTTTATTTTTAATCACCATTAAAATTTTGTAAGAAGGATCTTCAAATGCTAAAGAATTTATGAAATGATATCCAAAAATTAAACCAACAACTTCTTTATTGTTAAATATGCCTTAAAAGCAAAATTTATCCAAAATTTATTTATAAAATTTAGGTGTGTCGATCATTTGACCCCATAGTAAAAATTTTGTATACATGATCTGCGTGACAAATCATATGTCTGATACTGTATTAAAAGCATCTTACGCGTTACCTTATTACACGAAATTTTAATAAACTAGAAAAATAGAAACCATTAGAAGTCCGAAGGACTATATAATTAAAAATAATTTTACTATGATGCAAGAAGTCTAGAACCAACATCACATGACTTTAAAAGATTATAAAAAATAAAAATTATAATAACTAGTTATATTAATATTATAACAGAAAAAATTCTTCTATAGATTAATTATTTGAAATATTATATTATTATAAAAAGATTTTTTTTTATAATTTACTAAAACTAAAGTTATTAGCTAAAATATTTATTATATTTTAAAAATTTTGGCCGCTAATATAAAATTTTTTAAAAATTTTTATTGAACTAGAATTTGATTGGCTAATTTATATGTAGTACAAAAAAAATTTATAATAAAATTTTTTAATGGCCACTCTGGTCACGTGATGTTGGTTCTAAACTTCTTGCACCATATTAAATTTTTTTTACTTTATATAATGACGATAGCTGTACTGTATTACAAACAAAATGATCGACATTTATTAGCCAATCAAATTCAAGAATTTGCGAACAGACGGACATTCAGGTGATCTACTTTCCCAACAGTTAAGTCCTTCGGACAATTAAAAAATATATATATCGTGATACATACGTTCGTAAAATTGGATATCTAATACTGTATTAAAAGCATCTTACGCGTTACCTTATTACACGAAATTTTAATAAATTTAATAAAGGAAAAGTTGTATTTTATAATTCTATGATTCCAATTTTTTTTATGTAAAATCATTATAGGATTTTATAAAGAATAAATATATAAGAATAAATATAAGAATTAAAGAAAATTTAGTACGTACTGAAAGTACAATAAACAGTACGTACACGTATTTATTTATACATACAATACATACATATATATTTGTTTATTTGCTCTTTAGCGTTAGTTGTTCGGCATATTATATGTGTGGCCCACTAGTTAAAAAACATGGCACTTTTTGCAGTAGACACGTGAAAAATCGGCAGCAATTTTTTGTGTGATATGTAATATTGTGTTTTATACGTATGACGATGATTATAATCTACGTTTGTTACTTTTTAACATCTTGCATTAAAAAAATTTCACAAAATTATGCTTAAAGATCGTGCATTGTCAATCAAAAAGAAATTATTTAAAAAAATATATATAGTATGTATACAATATTTAACAATAATTAATCATCAGATAATCAAGATCGCAGGAAAAACCATTGATAATGCAAGAAAATTAGTTACTCTATTTTACATACAATTTTATTTAAATTTTTTTGTTTTTGGGGTTTGTAGAAACAATAGTAGAAAAGAAAAAGAAAAAAGAAAAAACTATTTTAAAAGAAAAGAAAAAAAAGAAAAAAATATTGAACAATCATTTTGCAATTCCCACCCAAGTAAATTGTTTCCTTAATAATTTCACAATAGAAAGAAAAATTTTTTTGTATCTTGTAATTTTTTTCTGTACCTTTGGTTCTCTCACCATTTTGTCTAATATAAAAAAAAAAAAAACCAAAAATCTAAAGTCCATCGAGAGAATCCTAATGATTTGTGTAAAAATTTGAAAGAAAAAAAAAAAGAAAACTAAAACGCAAATGTTTGTTGATTTTTTTTAAAAGCTTATATAAAAGGTAAATGCAAGCAGAAGAAAAAAAAACGAGCATAAAGAAGAAAAGAAAAAAAAAAAAAAAGACTATACAAGATTTATAAATTTTTATCTAGAAATAAAAAAAGTGCTCGTTGAAGTTTTACCATAGACGTAATATAATAGAAAGTCTAAATATTATCTATTCCCAATTACTATTGCTGATTTCTTCCGTTGACGATTGATCTTCTCGCTGCCGATATTCGAAACGTCTACCACCAATTGAGTTTTCTTCTACAGGTGTACCATCCGGGGACGGTGTATGTAATACGGTGTTCTATATTTAATATAAAATCACCATTTCTATCAGTTTCATCAATGTTCATCATTTTCATCATTTCTATTATTTATATCATTTATAATATCACCCCCATTTATAATTATATTTTTTTTTCTCAGTTAAAAAAAAAAAAAAGAAAGAAAACCTCAGAACCTAAGTAAGGGGGAAAGGAAAACTTACCTGTTGTGCATTTGTCACCATTTGAAGATTACTATTAGGGTAACCTTGTGGCGTCGATGGAATAGCACCTGGAGTAGCAGTGCCAGCACCTAGACCGGGTAATTGATAACCGGCGGTACTGCTTCTTGGTGAAGACTGAGATGATGATGGAGTCGTTGCTTCAGGAAATTCGTACTTTACTCGTTTACCGGAATGACCCCAACCGGAAAAGGCAGAATTATTAGGAGAAGAATTTGAGCTTACATTCATTGGACTTGGAAAAGTACCAGCAGCAGCATTAACTGCAGCACTAACAGCAATACTGCTTAATGGAGGTGGAGGATGCATAGCAAGAGGGGGACTTGATTGATTCGAATTATTAACATTATTATATTCATCATTTTCTTCTTCACCTACGAAACCTCTTTTTTGACCAATAAGTTGCGGTGAACCACTTTGAGCCGGACTTCCTGCCACTTCGGTGGCCGAGACAATATTATAAAGACCTTGATTGTTAGGTCGCATGTAACCGTTACTACCGGGATTTTCTTCAGACTTTTTTTTTTTATTTTTTATTTTTCATTTTTTTTTTTAAAAATTTTTTTAAAAATTTTTTTTGGATTTTTTTTTTTTTTTTTTTTGTTTATTTAGTATAAAAATTTTTTTACGTTAAAAATCGGTAGGAACTTTACATAAAAGGTGTTTGTAGTTTGTTGGAATAATTAGCCGTCGTCGCATTGCAACCACTCACCGGCGGTCCAGGAATCACAGCAACACCTTGCTGTCCTTGAGGTTGACCATTTATTAAACCATAACTAGTGTCATAATCTTCTAAATGAGTTTGTGGATGATTATGATTTCTAGGTGGTTGAGTCGGATATATTGGTACAGCAGGTGGATTAGCAACATGTTGAGGACGTTCAGCATATCCAGCAGCTGGTGGATACGGAGATGAACCATGATCTTGGCCTTGCGGTACATTTGGATTTCCCATGATTGCGTTACCATTTCCATATGGATACCATTGTCGCGACGTATCAGGAGAATATGGTGTGTTGTTGAAATTATTTGCATAAGGATGAGTCGGTCGCCATTGAGATTGTGGACCATTACCTATAGATGGAATTCTAGTTGACATTGATGGACCATATGAATTATGAAGAAAAACGCCGGGATCATCCACAAATAAAGGATAGAGCTATGACATGGATGAATTAAGATGAATTAAGATGAATTGAAATGAATTAAGTAAATTAAAATGAATTAAATAAATTCAATCAATTAATAAATTAATGCATTAGATAATATTAAAGTCACATGAGAATAGGTTTATAAATTTACCAATTCGCTGATCTTAAACTGAGCCGCAAGAGTTTTTGCTCGTTGAAAAGTAATCCTGTGATTAATGATTATTATGTTAATTATTATTATTGATGATTAGAATTTTTTTTATAGTTAATAGTAAATAGTAATTGATAATAATAATAATAATTAATAATAATTACTAATGATTAATAATAATTACTAACTATGATTAATAATTACTATGATTAATAATAATAATAATTATTATTTATTATAATTATAATAATAATTATCATTATAATTATTATTATTATTGTTCAAGTGATTCAAGTTCGATGATGATCAACAAGATGCGAGATCAAAAAACGGATCAGGTCACAAGATGAGCACAAGATCAAACAAATATCAAAGATGACATCAAAGATAATTTCAAAGATAATTTCAAAGATGAAAGGAAAGCCACAAATAAGGCGTAATAAAGAGATGTAATAATAATAATAATAATTAATTGATTTAATAATCTAAAGAAATAAACTTACCAAACACCTTTTAGATGCATTGCCCCAACTTTCACGACGACTCGACCTTTTTCATTCTTAAGAATACCATCTCGTTTACCACGTGACATTCCAACAACATTTAATAATTTCGTTCCGTTGATCATGTCATTGTCTGCAGGGAAAAAAAGTCCGAAGGTTTGAATGGGTAAAAGATAAAATAATATTAAGTAAAGATCAACGTTAGTTAAGGTTAAAGAAATCATATGATCAAATATTATGTCACGAATTCAAATAATCATAATCATAATATTATAACATAATAATATCAATAACATAATAAATGATTAAAAAATTAAAGCGCGTTTATAAAGTTCAAGAGGAGATATATATACCTTGTCGCCTAGCCACACATATACCACGAGCGTCAACCTGATAACATAGAGTTCCTTCATCTTCCCATATAGTAGTGGTAAGTTTTGGACGAGGAGTATGACCTTGGGCCATTCCTGAACCAGCACTACCGTAACCAACAGCAGGAACGAAAGCACTACCACCATTAGCGGATAAAACAGTAGCACCATTTGCAGGGTTACCACCACCAAAGTAAGGAGTCCAAAAAGGGTGGGTGGTAGGGTTAGCAAAATGATGTTGAGGATAAATCATAGTACTACCGTTGTTTTCTAAATGAGCAGAGGTCATCATTGCTGAGGCTTCTTGAGGTAAAGAGCTTTTAGTAGTAGTAGGGGTGGTTACCGGAGTAGGGTGTTGAGGAGCCTGGTTATAAGGAGTAAAAGCCGAATGGGGACCGGAAGCAGAAGGAGGAGTCTGAGTAGCGGTCGAGGTTAAAGAACGTGGACCAGCAGTAGAGTTCTGGGTGCTGGAGGAGGTATTATTCGAAGGTTGCGTGTTTGTCGACGTGGTGGAAGGTATACTGATATTTCGAGGAGAGTTTGGCTTGTTATTTGGAGACGTCGTGGTGTTAGAGAGCGAAGGAGCCGGAGAAGTCGGCGTAGTTGGGTGTTGTGGTGGTGAGAAATGAGTGCTGGCAGTTGTTAATGCAGGATTGGTGTTAGATGAATCGGTGAAAAGCTTATTTGAATTCTGGAAACCAGCCATAAATGAAAAGTTGTCGCGTATAATGTCTATGTAAGCGTCTGTATGTACCGCCAATCTGTTCTGTTTGAAATTTATATTTTTCAGCAACCAGCCGGACAGGAGCAAGGATAGTTGCAGTTGATGGTGTTCAGAGGAATTTGGTTGGTCGGACTTGTAGTTGAATTGTGGCGTGAGAAAATTGTATGTAATAGGATTGGTTGGAGTTTAAGGAAAAAAAATTTCTATATACGGAGGAAGGGATATAATAAGGGGGATATAGTTTCTGATATAGGTAAAGTGATGACTGTATAGATACCCAAAGGAATAAGATCCGAAAATTTTCTTCCAGGGGCGACAAATATGGCCTAAATACACACCTATAATAATAATAATAAAAAAAATTTTGTTACTGGAAGGTAAAACCGAACGAACGATAAACGATAAACGATAACGGATGAACGATGATGATGAAGCGATGAAATGAAGAGAGAGCCTGTTAATTAAAAGTGGATAATAACCGCGAGAAAGAATGACTGGTAAAAATGATTTCGATTTTCTTTTTTTTTTTTTATTTATTTTTTTCTTTTGATTTCTTTTTTTCTTTTTGTTTTTTTTTGTGTGTGTGTGTGTGTGTATGTATATATATATATATATATATATATAATATATTATATATATATATATATTATATATTATTGTTATTAAATGAAAGAACGAAATAGATGGATAAAAAAAAAAAAATCTTTTTTTTTTTTTCAAGGAAAAAAAAAAAAAAGAGAAATATATTTATAGAATCTTTATTATTTATAAATCTTATACATAATAAGGATTGTCGTGCAAAAATTAATAAATAGGGCAACCAAAAACAGTTGATAAGAGTTAATAATATACGTACCGAAAATAAAGGTGGATTATTAGTCCGAGTAAAAAGTCTGCTTGTTATTTTTTTTTTTGGGGTGCTTTACTTAAAAAAAAAAAAAGAGGTGTATCCCGTCCAAAACTCTTGTTTTTTTTTTATAATAGTACTATTGTCCCTTTGTGTTTTTTTTTATAAGTCAGTTTCGGTAGCGGAAAGGAGGTAGCCGACACGAGGAGAAAATCGTATTGGAAAAGGGGCGTAGAAACAAGGATTAGATAAAAATGTTGAATAAAATTAAAGTATTTATTTATTATTCACGATTTCAGTTGTAAATGATGGTTTTTAATTCAGGCGTGTGAAGATTTTTTTTTAGATAGATGGAAGTGAAAAAAAAGTCTATTGAAATTTGTACAGTACAAAAAAAAAAGTTTCAGGTTATTAGGTTATTAGCAATGTTTCAGAATGCTCTCTTCTTTTTTTTTTTTTTTTTCTTCGATGTAACAGTTTCTATTATGGTTTCGAAATCTATTAATTATTTCAGTCTATGCGAACGGGGGAAAAGAATATACAAGAGGGAGGGGAAAAAAAAAATAAAGAATTAACGTGAATTGTCAAAAGCAATTAAAGATTAAATCAAGAATTATTTTTGAAAGAATCTTTCTTTTGGCAGACAATAAAAGTTATTTGCCTGCGTTTTTATTATTTTTTGATTCGAAGACGATTCAATTGAAGATAGCCCGGGGAACGGGATGAACAACGCTATATATATATATTCAAAAAAAAAAAAAAAAAGTATAATATATATTCACCCGTAATTTGTACGATAATATGCAATTAAGAGCAAAGAAAGGGAGGCTCAGGAGTGGAAGAAAAGGTGGATTTATATTATAACGAACATGGTGTTGGTTAAAAGCGTGACAGGTGATTTATTAATAGTATTAATAGAATTAATATTATATATAATAAAAAGGTAAACTAAAAATACTAAATATAAAAATAAAGGAAAGAAGAGAAGTCGGTAAATATAAATTAAATAAAGTAGCGTTACAACAACGACATCAAGCAGAATAGAGATAAACATCGAAAATATCATTTAAGATTGTTTGAGTAAGATAAATCTTATTGGTGCCGATACAGAGTCCCAGGACCAATTGAAACGAAAAAATTGATTACTATATACAAAATATATACAGTAAGTAATATAGTAATATAGTATGTAATATAATAAGTAATATAGTAAATAATATAGTAATATAAGTAATAATAAGTAATATAGTAGTATAATCAATTGAGTAATCTAGTTGAATAATATAGTAAGTATAATAAGAGAAATGATCAGTGTAAGGGAAAAAAAAAAGAGAGGGCACACAAGTACAAGAAACCGAGCGACACAAACACAATTTTGAAAACAGATGCAAAAAAAATCATTTGACCTTTTTTGTCAAATTCCTGTTGCAAATTTATTATTCGTCTTGTGTTCACGCACCAGTATTAAATAAACTTTGAAAGTCAATCAGTTTATTTTATAAACTTAAAGAACGGCTAATAACTGTAATAACTGTTATAATAACTGATAAATTATATCACATAATGGATCAGAAATACGTATAAAGTAATTTATTCTATCTTTATTTTATATTATTTTATATTATTTTTATCTGATTATTGGATTTTATCACTAACGTAATATAAATTATTATCGGATTAAAAAAATCGAGTCGATTAATAACAAGAGACTACGGAGACAAAAAAGTATTCGGTATCAGTATGTACGTTGATATGTACTGTAGATTGTTGAAGAAGAACAGCACACTATGTACATTAATCGGTTTTAAAAAAATTATAATATATTTACATATATGTATGTTTGTATAAGAGTATACATAAGAAGGCAAAAAAAAAAAATTTTTTTTTCAAACTCGTCGTGGTGTTTATTGAATATCTAAAGAAAGCTGCATATCCTATCGAGAATCTATTGTGGTTGCAGAAAAGTTGCATTTTGTTGCGTAATATAAACACATATAAACATTTATATCTACTGTAATATACAGAATTATACAGAAATACTACCTGACCAAACTCGAAATGGTATGCGCTATATGCCCTACAATTGTTTGAACGAACAAAAAGGTTAAGAGACACGAGTCATCCGTTCCGTTCGTAATTATAATTATTTAATAGATATATTATTATAATAAAAACTATTATTTTAAAAAAGACATTATTATAATAAAAAATATTATTTTAAAAAGACATTATTTTAAAAGACATTATTTTAAACGATATAATTAAAAGATATTATTAAAAATACTATTAAAAGCTATTATTAAAAGATATTATTAAAAGATATTAAAAGATGATAAGATAATAGGGATTACCCTGAAGATGAATTGTTTGGGTTGATATTCGGAGATTGCACACCCCCCTATATACTATTTGTGGATTTCTGAACGAAACATCATTCCAAACTAATATAAGAAATCCCGGTGATTTGGTGATTTGACAATGACGAATCAAAATCCATTGTCTCTTAAATGACAAATATGTTATTATATATGTCATTAATATGTCATTAATATGTCATTGAATATTATTGTTATCTCTTTTTTTATTTTTTTATTTTATTTTTCCAAATTCTTTTATTTCTTTTTATTTTTCTAAATTTTTTTTTTGTTTCTCTAAATTTTTTTTTTGTTTCTCTAAATTTTTCTTGTTTTTCTTGTTTTTCTTGTTTTTCTTATTTTTCTTGTTTTTCTTGTTTCTTTTGTTTTTTTTTATTGTCTCTTTTATTTATTTATCCTATCCTTGTTTAATTTTTTTCTTTAATTTTTTCCTTTAATAAATTTTAAAATTTTTTAAAATTTTTTTAAATTTTTAATTGTTTATCGAATATTCTATTTAATCTATTTGCCGAATTTCTTATCCGCCAAATAGTAAATCTAATTATTTAGATGGTTAGAATCTCTCGTGAAAATGAACTAAATTGGTTGTCACGGGTGTGTTAATTGTGTCGGGTAATGTTTGTAGATTTGCAATATTGGTTGTCGAGTGTATTGGATATGTTGGGGTGTTAGTGTTGTATTAGATGTTGTATTAGATGTTTGAGTTTCATTATTCGAATTATAGTTAGTTAGGAAAAGATTTGCGACGATTGTTGTTATTTTAGGTTTGGTTATTTTTCTTGTTTGTCTTTGTATAGTGAAGGTGAAAAATAGAGCGAAAGAATGTCCCATTGTGTTCAAATTGTTTGCTATGGGTATGCCAGTTGTAAATCCATCTGGTTAAAAAACAAGATTTTTTAGCCCATGTCAGTTTAAATCTTTATAACAGTTACATACGCATTACAGCCAGCCAAATGATGTATATCTGAATATCTGAATATGCAAGATCTTCTTTTGACCATCTCAATCAATACATTTATGGATGGATACATTTATGGATAGAGAGAGAATGAATAAAGATTCCCGTGTTCTATTTTATATAATGTACTATATGTATTTATGTTATACTAGTTTTGTTAGATGTACGAAATGTGTAATAATTTATATGCCAAGTACATCACCCATGCTCAATTATTATTCTTAAAAATCTGGCAAGGAAAAAAAAAAGTTTTACATGTATTAATATTATGAATATTATGGCAAGACCCTGCTGCGAGTTCAGTGTTTAAAAACAGTAAATTATCATCGACTATCAACAATTAAGAAGGTGACAACCAAAGATACTCATTACATTACTGATTTGTGCGTACATAATAATTTACCGCTTACATGCGTAATAAATTACCGTGTCGTACATCTTTTAACCCTATCCAATCATTATTTATTTCTGTTCATTCTTAAATTCGAATCATGCGTAATAATTATGTTAAATTATGTTAAATTATGTTAAATTATGTTATTATGTTTATGTTATCTGTTATGTTAAAAAGTTACTATGTTAAAATATGTTAAAATATGTTAAAAGATGCTATGTATGTCAACCATAATATAGACATATAGACCGTACGTAATAGACTAAATACTTTCTGTCTTTAGACTTTCATTCTTTTTCAGTCTTTAGATGATTCTCATTGAAGAATAATAATAATAGTATTAGAGAACGAGATCACAAAATATTGTTTCCTGATTGATATGATTGATATTCTCTTCGTTCAACGAAC